TGTGTCACCGGAAAAAAGGTCTTGCGCACCCAATACTCTGAGATATACCCAAGAAAATTTGCCCGTGCTGTAGCCCATGTCATGGTAAAGCATCCCAAAGAATGGCCAGTGAAATGGCAGCCTGGTATGTTAGCCTTGCATGATGCTGAGCCAAGTTTTGTTCTGGGTGCGGCTCGAAGGATTACCAAATCCAAATTCGAAAGGTCAGAAGTGATCTACCCTGAGTCTCGAGCGTCACCCGATGCCAAGCGACGCAAACTGACAGGTAAGCAGAGTGAGCTTCCCAGTTTAGAGATGTTCCAACAGGTAATCCAGACAATCACCCAAAGAGTTCCGAGAGTCGGAAAAATCGAAATCACCGATCATGAACTTTTGACCGAGTTGCAGAACCTTGTGCCACAAAAGCTCATTCAGCGAGTCCTTGCATGCCGTGGAACCGATCGAACATTGGGCCCTCCTCAAGGCATGATGTCCCAAGAGGCCCCATTCCGCCGATCCATAATGGTCATTCGAAGCACTGGCCGAGTTGCCATTGAAAAGAACTGGGAACGATGGGATCAACTTTCAAAACGACAACTGATTCGACCAGCTCATGCCTGTCGTTTGAACATAACAGTGTTTGCAACGGAACACCCATCGAGACCAGGAGATGGCACAGGTTCCACTAATGTTCCCGGACAGCCGTCCGACAGCCAGGGTTCAGATATTGCCATGCAACCTGACACGACCGTGTCACCGTTCCCGCCGGAAGCAGCTGACCAATCGATTGAGCACCAAGACCATGCAGAACCTTCAAAGAATCCCATGACTGAAATCAAACATGGTCAACAAGGTATTCGATTCAAGATGTTGCCACAGTGGGAACAGAAATGGTTGATCCGAGTCCATAAGAACTTAGGCCATCCTTCAAATGATCGCCTAGTGAAGGCGCTGCAGATGCAGGGTGCACATCTTGGCTTGATCCAAGCCGCTCAGGAACTGGCATGCCCGATTTGCAAGTCACAGGAACCACCCAAGACTGCCCGACCAGCCAGGTTGAAACAAACCCTTGACTTCAATCATAGGATCTTCTTGGATGGTATTGACTGGACCAATAGCCAGGGAAAAACATATCACATGTATCATATCCTTGATGCCGGATCCAACTATCATGTAGCTGTGGTGTCCCCTTCCAAGTCAACTGAAAATCTCATTGACCTAATCAATAAACATTGGATATGTTGGGCAGGTCCTCCAAGTGAATTGTTTGTTGATGCAGGAACCGAAATGAATAGTAGTACATTTGAGCAGTTCACCAATCGTTTTGGAATCAAATGCAGTACTTCCGAACCTAACAGCCATTGGAAGAACGGACGAATCGAACGACATGGCCGTTTTCTGCAAGAAATGCTCACAAAGGTTGACCTTGAGTTTCCCATTATGTCCTATAGTGATTTGCAGACCAGCCTTAACCAGTGTACCCATGCCAAGAACTCCCTGTCAATTCGCAAAGGGTATGCACCCGAGCTTATCGTGTTTGGTAAGCACTCCAGGCTCCCAGGGTCAGTTTTGAGTGATGAATCCGTTCCGTCTCATTTAAATGCTCTTTCTGAAGAGACGGAAATTCAGCCAAATGAATTTCGGAATATGCTCATGCTCAGAGAGGCAGCCAGAAGGGCCTATCACTCAGCTGACAACAATGACGTTCTCAGAAGAGCCGGTTTGCATCGATCATGCCCAGACCGTGGGGCATTCTGCCGTGGAGATTGGGTAATGCTGTGGAAACTTGATCAAAACGTCGATCCCCCAAGACACAAATGGTTTGGTCCCCTAAGGGTTATCATTCAAGATGGGAATCAGACAGTATGGTGTACCAATGCTGGTAAGTTGTATCGGGGAGCCATTGAGCACATCCGAAGAGCTGTTCCAGAGGAAGGCAGTCCTGAAGGCCCTGAACTTCCAGAGGATATGACTCAAATTCATCAACAAATTCAAAACATGTCACGTGAAAACACAGCCGAACAACCAATACAACCTACTACCATACATGAGAACCTTGAGAGTCAACAAGAACCATCAACAGATGCTGCCACTCAACCCACCGAAGTCAATCAAGTACCCGACAATCCAACAGAAGGATCTCTTCAACAACCTGAACCTGAAAGTGAAGGCCACGGAATTGGATCACAGGAGTCCCATTCCAGTGACCCTGGAGCAATAGATGAGGATGATCCCGATCTCACAGCAGTGAACCTGATTTGCACAGACGCTCCGGGGGCCTTGCAAGAGCCTGAAGCAAGTGGTCATGCATGGCGCTGTGAGTTTGACATTCATGTACCATGTCCCATACAGGATCATGTACCCAATGAAGTAGAATCATGGACACTGCTAGCTACCTCCGTCAAGAAACAACGCACAGAGGTGCGATTGTCAGATCTCACACCTGCAGAGAGAGCTCAATTCGAAGTCGCCAAGGAGACCGAAGTGCAGAATTGGATAAAGACTGGAACAATTTCAAAAGTACTCCGTGATCAAATTCCCGATTCTCAAATCATGAAATGCCGATGGATCCTAACATGGAAAGAAACTGATCCTGCACCCGATACTCCATCGCAAGCAAAGGGTCGAAAAGCCAAGGCCCGGGTGGTGATCCTAGGATTCATGGACCCATCGTTGGATAGCATTCCTAGGGATAGCCCCACACTGGGACGAACCTCAAAAATGGTTGCACTCCAATTGATTTCTTCCCATAAATGGTTGCTACAATCCTTTGATGTAAAAGCTGCATTCCTCCAGGGAAAACCCCAAGACAATCGGTTGATAATTGTTGATCCTGTCCCCGAACTCCGAAAAGCCATGAACATGTCTCATCAAGAACTTGCCAGGTTGAACAAAGGAGCATATGGCTTGGTAGATGCACCTTTCCTCTGGTATTGCACTCTGGTCGAAGAATTGACAAAGCTGAACTTCGAACCAAGTCCCATGGACCCATGCCTATTTGTGCTGAGACATCCGTCCACAAACGATCAGCCTGGTCACCTTGCTGGAGTGGTTGGCATTCACGTAGATGATGGCATAGGCGGTGGGGATTTCTATTTCAATGAACAGGTTCAGAAACTAGAAAAGAAGTTTCCATTTGGCAGTCACAAGACCAGCAGTTTTACGTTTACGGGAATTGATGTACATCAACATGGGGACTACAGTATCACACTTAGCCAATCAAAATATGTGTGCAAAATTCCACCAATCAAAATTGAGACCAATCGAAAAACCCAACCAACGCTCCCTGTCAATGAAGAAGAGAAGCTAGCTTTGCGGGGATTAATTGGAAGTTTACAGTATGCTGCAACCCACATTCGACCTGATTTATCCAGCAGATTATCACTTCTCCAATCATCCATCAACAAAGCGACAGTAGAGACCTTGAGTGAGGGAAACAAACTTCTTCATGAAGCAAAACATCATCATGATGTGACCATCACAATCAAATCAATCAGCCCAGGTGACTTGAGATTTATGGCATTCAGTGACGCATCCTTCTCATCTCACAATAAACCTGATTCCCATGCCGGTCATATCATTGTAGCTACTCACAAAGCAATTGACTCCAATGTACAGTGTCCCATAAGTCCAATCACGTGGGGTTCCAAAAAGATTCAACGGGTTGTGACAAGTACACTTGCAGCCGAAACCATGGCATTAGCTTCTACAGTAGATCAACTATCATGGTTACGCATCTTTTGGAGCTGGCTACATGATCCACGAACCCAATGGAGGAAACCCGATGAGGCATTGACAAAAATTCCATCAGCCATTTCGGTAGCATCCCCAACTGAGCACCCTGATTTAACAGTAACGGATTGCAAATCATTGTATGATTTAATATCACGTACAGCTCCACCTTCTTGTTCAGAATATCGTATTCAACTGGTGGCACGAGCCATTAAAGAATCACTTGAAGAGGGCACAAAACTCCGATGGGTGCACACCGGTGCACAACTGGCCGATTCTCTTACCAAAGCAATGGAGGCACATTTCCTCCGAGCCACTCTGAAGCATGGTTTTTACCGGCTGACTGATGAGACCGCTCTTTTGAAAGCCCGAGCGAACACCAAGGATCGAATCCGATGGTTGAAGCAAACCAATACTGAGAGCGATACCATCAACTTGCCTCTTGACACTTCCGATCCTCAAAAGAAAAGTCAATAAAGAATAATTTTGGGGAGTGTAATTATCCAATGTGAACCTAATCCATCCATAAAGGGGTCACTGCAGTCTCTCACCATAGGTCATGCACAGACCATCGACATGCCCTTGGTTCAAGGCACCAGCTTCAGGGAAGCTAGGTTTGAGGGCGGGAGGGATCACTGCCTTGGAGCCATAACCTTTCGTAGGTGACGGGGTTCACCCAATAGCTGCATTGAGCGTGGCCGCTCATACCCAGCTTTCTACATAAGACGGCAGTGGACCATCCCTTTTGCCCAACCTTGTGCTGTGACCATTTCCTGGATCCAACTTGTGGTGGTCGTGACAAAAGGCGCGGAGGCGCTGCTGCTTGGAGGTTGCTTGGATCAGCTGGAGCACTACCAATTACAATATGTATATATATACATATATATATATACATATATATACATATATATATATATACATATGTATATATATATACACGCATAATATATAATTATATATATATATGTAATTAGATGTATGTATGTATATATATATAGATACACATATATACATATAATAGTAATCAAGGCTACATCATAATCTCAGCCAATCGAGCCCCAATGTAGATCATGAATCCATGTAGAATACTGTTTGTCATGTCCATCAATGGGGATTCTTATACCCATTATATCCCATCAGTTTTCCATTATTGTTGGTTAAGTACCATTCATATGTTAATTTCAATCACAATTAATATGTTCCAGAAATTTGACGCAAAATCGACGTTCACTTTCATTTTCTGCTTCCTGGACCTTCATAGTTGATCTGATTTCTGCCAAGTCGTTGAGGTGATTTCTGACTTTTTCATGGCCCATGACCGGGGCAGCTTACTTTACGACCTCAGTCAGCTTTTGCGCTTGGGACAATCTGGCTATGCGAACCTCAAAGAAGGGGTCACTTGGACTTCCAGGATTTTCTTGGCAGCTTGAAACTGCTGATTTGGTTAGATCGGAAAAACTTGCAAAGGATATCTTGGATATATCTTGTATATATCATGCATATCCCAAACTGCATCATCCAATTCATCATGCATTCGGCACGCTTTTTTTTCCGGGGATGAAATCAAAAAAAATAATCGATCGATGATGATCAATGGTCCATTTTCTATAGCCATGTTAAATCACCGCACACATATTTCCGGGACTCCCAGCTTGGGGGTGCAATTGCAGTCATGGGGGAGTTCTATCCAAACTTCGGGTTGGAATCCAATGGTAGCCATGGTAGCCCCCGCATCCACCATGTAAGATTTCCCCAGGTGAGCTCCTTGTGGAGCCTCATTGCACAGCAGAGAGATCAACATACCGCCGTTGAGCTCCTTCAAAAACTCCAGGCGCTGAACGTCGGGTCGTTGGATTTTCGATAGCCATGGTGACTATGGTGACGACTGGAGCTTTTATATGATATGGATATGTCATGATATGTATGTATATATATATATGATTATATATGATAACGACATTTACAGTAAATATGTGTGGAGGGCCAGACTACAAGGCACCGGAGGTAGTATGAAACACCAGTTCCAACCGTATATGGTGTATATATATATATAATTAAATAAGTTGGATTCCGTATGTTTAAATGGCCGGACAGGCCAAGGAAAACCTTCCTGGAGGTAGTCTAAAATACCAGTTCGTATATTTAAAGATCCAAATATTGAGATGTAGCTACCATATGTATATATATATATATAAATACATAATATACACACACAGATACCCAGCACTATGATATTTGGGGGTGCAGTTGGGCCCTTCGGCAATTAAACATGGCTGGGGAAATCCCTGAGCCCAATGCAGGCTTTAATGAGAAAATCTTCGAACTAAGTGAAATGGTGAATTTCCATTGCCATGTTTGATTGCCGGAGGGTAGACTCTGTAGACCCTGCAACGATGGCTTTATATACTACTCACTCAAGCAGGAAACATTTTTTTGGATTGCTGGTCAGAGGTTTTGTTCATATTAGTTTGGTTTTCAATCCACAACGGGATTGCAACTTGAGTTGTCAGTGGTTGGTGGTTTTGTTCATGTTCTGGATTGTCCACCCCACACTAGACACAAGATGATCAATCGACTTGTCACTACCTGGTGGTTTCAAGCACGTTTCAACTTTAGTTCGAAACATATTAAGACATTGATGTTGATGTTGTTGATGTTGTTGATGTTGTTGATGTTGTTGATGATCATGTTGACCATGATGACCATGATGACCATGATGGCGATGATGATGGCGATGACGACGACGATGGTGATGGTGATGGTGGTGGTGGTGGTGGTGATGATGATGATTCTGATTCTGATGTAGTTGTTAACAATACTTCTGCTGATGACAACGCCGGCGACGATGATGATCCCAAATTATGGTTTTACGAACATGTTGCAACAACAGTGTCAGTTTCTGTCACCCAATTATCATGAGAGTCATGATGATCCTATGTTGAATTTCCGGCTCCATTTCAATGTCCTATAGGGCCTTGGGCCTCCAAACCCATAAAACGGATGCCTCCCAGCCATTTGTAACGCTCGCTTTCCCAGGCTGTTGCGGAGGAGTTTTCCAAGACACAGGTGGCTTCGTATTGGAATTGATATCTCTTTGGATATTTTTCGACCTCTATAGGATGACTAGACTTTCAGATTACTATATATAAATGTTTTTTTGAAGCTGTAGGATTTACATGGATGTACTATAGGTATAGGCATAGGTACCTCTACTTGAGACGGAATCGAATCAGCCCCCAAAAAAGCCACGTTCAGAGGTGGCCAAGAAGGAAGCATCAACGGAGGGCAAGACGCAAGCCAAGGATGCTAAGGTCAAGCCGAGCCATCTTCAATGATGGTTTGTTTATGGGGTATCATCGCAAGGACTGATTAGTTTCCATTTCCATTTTAGATGGTAATCATATGGGGGTTTCCTAAAATGGTGGTACCCAAAGTCACCATGGGTTTCAATACTAAACTAATCTAATTTTTTTAAAAAAAAGGGGTACCCCCATTTTAGGACCCCCCCCATACGTAATCATTGTGATTTGCTTAAAGTTTATAATCATTGTGTTCCCAACATTGCAGTTAATTTTTCCAACAAAAATCTGGCAGAATTTTTCCACTTTGTGATCTGTCGGATTTGATGATGATGCATCCGAGATGTGAGGCAAAACCCCATGGGTTTCTGATAGATTCCCCCCTGGGCTCGGTGTACGGTTGAAACATCGCGCCAGGCATCGAGTAGTGCCGATCAGGCGCGGCAAGCGATGTGGCGGTGGCCACATCCAGCCATAAGGCAATGTCGTAAAGCCAATGCTATATGGGATACTCCTTGGAAAAATGGCAAGAAACATGGAGAAATAATGAGAAATATACTATTAATTATTTGGAAATACATGGACCCATCATATTTACTCAGCAATCAGTACTACTGTAGATGGAGAAGTGAACCTCCAAATGATTTGATTGGTGAATATCTGCTGCAGATTGGTGATGTCCATTTTTTTTCTTGATTGTAAGTTTTCTGACATGTTCTGCTAAATGTCAATCTGCGCTGATCGTGGAATGAGGGATTTCCGATCAATGACCCATTGTTAAGCAACCATGGTGTGACAATGATAGGAATCCCCATCGATCAACCATAATGGGGATTTGAGTATGTGTATATGTATACACATATAGATATATCAAATTACTTTACTTCGTGTGATCCCCACCATGACATTTATCCGTTTTGTTACTGGCAAATCTTCTGACATTCTATCTGGCATATCTTCTGGCATTTTATCTGGCATTCTATCTGGCATATCTTCTGGCATTCTATCTGGCATATCTTTTGGCATTCTATCTGGCATTTTATCTGGCATATCTTCTGGCATTCTATCTGACATTCTATCTGCCGTTCTATCTGGCATATCTTCTGGCATTCATCTTCTGGCACACTTTCTGCCAATCTATGTGGCGTATCTTCTGGCATTCGATTTGGCATTCTACCTGGCATATCTTCTGGCAGATGTTCTGGCATATCTTCTGGCATTCCATCTGGCATTCTATCTGGCATATCTTCTGGCATATCTTCTGGCACTTTATCTGGCATACCTTCTGGCACTCCATCTGGCATTCTATCTGGCATATCTTCTGGCATATTATCTGGCAAATCTTCTGGCACTCTATCTGGCAAGCATTCTGGCACTTTATCTGGCATATCTTCTGGCATTCTATCTGACATTTTATCTGGCATTCTATCTGGCATACCTTCTGGCATTCTATCTGGCATATCTTCTAACATTCTATCTGGCATATCTTCTGGCATTCTATCTGGCATATCTTATGGCATTTTAGCTGGCATATCTTCTGGCATTCTATCTGACATTCTATCTGGCATATCTTCTGGCATTATCTGGCATTTTATTTAGTTTTTGAGATCCAGCGTTCATTGAGCTCGGAGGGTCCCAGGTTGAGGCCCAGCGGTGCGCACTGAGCTGGGAAGGTCCCAGGTTGAGGTCCAGCGGTGCGCGCTGAGCTCGGAAGGTCCCAGGTTGAGGTCCAGCGGTGCGCACTGAGCTGGGAAGGTCCCAGGTTGAGGTCCAGCGGTGCGCACTGAGCTGGGAAGGTCCCAGGTTGAGGTCCAGCAGTGCGCACTGAGCTGGGAAGTTGGCGAAGAGCTTGGCGAAGAGTTGGCAAGGCGGAAGTGGAGGTGGAAGTTGATGCAGACATGGTCGAGGAGAAACTGGCGGAGGAGGCGGAGGAGGAGGAGAAGGAGGAGGAGGAGGCGGAGGAGGAGAACAACTCTGATAAAATCTAACAACCCTCACCTGGCAGGTGGGGAATTATAGCAATTTTTATGTACATAGCCGTTTTTTCACGAGTTGGATGAGCTAATTCTCATCTTTTTTTCCGCCTCCAGCAATGTTTCCTGTAGATGTTCCAGAACCACGGGACGGCTCACAATCACCGGTTAAACCATCCGATCCTCTGAAAGAACTTCCCTCCATATCTAGGTTGACTTTGATCTGCAATGTTTGATGTTTCTTGCCATATATCAAAGATCTATATGCATACATAATCATACATATCCATACATCAACATCCATTAAACAAAGTATCCATCAATATCACGACATCAATATCACCAAAAAAGATCATCACAAAATCAAATCAATGTCAACAATGTGGGTAAAACACTAATAAACCATCCCCCCAATCACCATTTTTATAGGTGGCATGGTTACGATTCCCAGTCATGGGTGGTAAAAATGGCATTGTTTTACCCGATAATCACAATGATATTCCCAATAATCACCATTAAATCACCATTATAATCCCCATTAATCATCATTAATCACCAATAATCACCATTATAATTATAATAATCACCATGGTTTTAGGCACATTAAAACACATGGATCCTATCAACCCCTGAAAATCTCCAGCTCCCAGGCCGACGCCGGCGAGGCCGCGGTCCGCAACGGTGCCATGCTCCGTAACGGAGAGGGCCCTGGGGAATCGAGCAGCAACTTGGCGCAGGGACTTCGTGGAGATGGGGAATTCCCACCACCCAAAAAATCGGGGATTCGAAGCATCAAAAATTGGAGAATTTGACCAGTAAAAACTGGTGATTTGACATGATTTGACCAAAAACCATGGGGATTTCAGCAAGAACAGTTGGGGATGTGTCACGATGATCTGGTTGGTTGTCGTTTGACATGTGGATGGAATGGGGGGTTCTATTTTCAGGATTTGTTATGTTCATTCTGATACCTGATATTATAGATGTGATAAATTAACTACCAGTAGTACCGCACAA